CCTTCTTCTCTCTCTGGCACTGGTGTGAGCAGGTCCCTGTCCTAGCAGCTAACAGGTCCCTGTGCTAGCAGCTACGGAACTGAACAGGACACCCAGGAAGGCATGACTAGTAAGTCATGCCCCTTTGGGACTCTGCCAGTGACATAACAGAGGAGGTGAGGCAGGGCTGAATGGACGTCCGTTCATAGCCTTAGGGCCGGGCAGCATGCAGATCAGAGCAGAGTGCACAGACCATCTCGTTTACATACGTGTCTGGATTATTCTGATTCTTCCAAGTTGTCTTGATCTTTACTGCTGCACCAAGATGAAACCATCTGCCTGTAACTCCACCCTCCTCTGCCTTCATCTGGCACTTACATATGAAGACCCCCACACACAGACATATAGATACACACCACCAGAGATAAAAATAATCTCTTAAAATTGATTATTGCTTAAATAGTTTTAGGCAACACAGACTAGAAATTTCTAACACTAAATTCTAGTTACTAGTTTACACTCTTGTAAACAACTGCCATGTTACGATAAACATTAAATTTTGCATTCGGGTTCTAGTTGAATTGAGAAACTATTTTTGATTCCTCAGAAATCCGTTGTTAATGATTTTTTTTCTGAATTCAATTTAAATTCTCATTATTTCAGGCTTATAAGGCCATTTATGACAGTTGCAACAGCAAAAGTATGAGAGGATGTTTATATAGAGACATAATTATAGAAAAATCAAATTGTTGTAGCAATTATATTTTACTGTTTTTCTGAAGTTTTGAAAGACCTACTGGATGAAAATTATGAACATTTGGTGCTAGTGCACTTTAAAAATAATAATAATAATAATAATAATAATAATAATAATAATAATAAAAAAAAACAGAGTCTCATATAGCCTGGGCTGGCTTCAAACTGATCCTCTTGTCTCCAGCCCTCCCAGAGCTAGAATTTCAGGAATGTACCACTATTCCTCCCTTTTTTTAGTGCCTTTTAATACCAGAAGACGTAAGATTATGTAAAGAATGACAAGGTCTTCTTTTAATTCCTTAGCTCTTCCCTAAAAGTAAACCACACGAGTAAATTAGGACAAGGAACAATGTGACATGAGCGCCTCGTTCCTCCTCAGTCCTTGATGTCTACCTCCATCCCATCGTTCCGAGGCAGCTGAAATTGCGGGTACCACTGGGCACTGCCCAAGACTCCCTACACTGCAGCCAGAGCTTTGGGGTTGAAACAGCATCCCTCGAAGGGAACCTGTTTCTGTATCGTGTGGAATTCCCTGAACACTGAAGTCTGAGGAAGGCTTCTCTGTGAGCATGGCTCACCTGAGGTGGGCAGCTCTGCTCTCTCTCACCAGGTGTCACTGAGTCCTTGATAGGATGAAGCACTCGTTAATGGAGGGCCGGCCATCTGGTGCTAATCTTTCTCTCTTTTAACTCAAGACTAATTTGAAAAATTTATTCGATTCTCCAGAGAACAACACAGTAAAATAAATGCACTGCCATTTAATTCAGCTTAAGTTTGCTGGAAATACATCACTTTAAAAAGCCCATTTGATTTAGTTCAAATTATTTGTCGCATATCTGCTCCCCATTAGTACCCCGTCAGACTCCTCTCTCCAGCAAGTTTTAATAATTTTCAAGTCTGGAAAAATGTTAATAATGTTTCTGCTTCCTCATCTAAAATGCGAGTTGTCTGTGATCCCTTGGAAAGAGTCTTTGTAATATGAGCAGAAGTTACTAGCAGAAAAGTCAAAGTTTGGATATTTATAACATCCCTGGTGTCTGCATCCTTCTGTTTGCTACTCTTGGCCCCATGTTCGTGTATCAGGGGTAGCTTAGGTGGGTGTATATGCCTGCCGGGAGTCAAGTTCAGAGGATGGCCAGGGATGGAGATGGCATTTTTCAATACTGAGTAGCAACCTGTCACTCTTAAAGACAGGCTTCTCGGGCTGGAGAGATGGCTCAGAGGTTAAGA